GGGGCAGCGGGAAGGGCGGGAGGCGGCCGGCCAGGCGCTCCCACAGCGCCCCGGGGGTCACCCCGTCCAGCCCCTCCAGGGCCACTTCGTCCAGCACCGCCCACAGCGCCTCCATGGCCGGCAGGGGGGCGACTGCGCAGGCGCGATCGGCCGGCCGGCGCGCAGGAAGTGACGCACACAGCTGGCGCCCCAGCGCCGTAACCAAGGCAACGGCCCAACAGGCGGCGGCGAGGAGGGTGATGGTGGGGTAGAAGACGAAGGACGCGTGAGCCCCGGCGAGTGCTGGCTGCCTGGCTGGGTAGGGCGGAGGGTCGCCTCGCCTCCTTCTGCTTGCCTTCCTTCGCCCGCCCCACGCGAGGGCCGGGCCTCTCAGAGCTCGTGGCGGCGGCGGCGGCGGCCTTCAGCCAGCCAGGCAGCCAGCCAGCGCGAGGATAGTGCCGGAGCCCCACCTGGTCCGGCCGGCAGGGATTACTCTTCAACCCCCACCCCAACGGGGAGAGAGAGAGAGAGAGACTCGTTCTCTGGATCCTTCATTAGACGCCTCGTAATCCCTTCCCTCATTTTATGGTAACCCTGATGCCAGTAGAAAAGGGAGGCAGCAGGAGATGAGGAAAACCAGGCGTGAGATGGATCGACTCCCTAAGAGAAACCACGCCCTTGCCTTTGCAACAGCTGAGCGGGGATGCTGAGGGGGCTTGACAGCACCCAATACAGTAATAACAATACTGTATTGCCTGGCAGCTCAGATTCAGCAAAGTTTAGTCTTAAAGCAGTTATCTTGTTCAAGAAATTCTGGCATCTTGGTTTCCACAAAACATATTGAAATTAAGTGGGTGATCATTCCAAGTAATCCTGCTTGGGTTTTTAAAGCTTTGGTTTTGTTTTATGTTTTAGGCTTAACCGAAGGATATGGTGACTGACTTTGATGAGAAACATGATGAGTACATAGTACTGCTTCAGCAGAGAAACAGGTATGCCAAGGAAAGGAGTTTTGGGGCTGGTTCAGGATAGGATCAATCCGTGGCAGGAAGGAAGCTGCCTCAAATCTTGAAGGTCTCTTGGATTTCTTTCTTAAAGGCAAGGTTTTCTCTATTTGAAGAGGCAGCTTCATACTCCTTTTTTGTCCATGGAGTTGAACAGGAAGATTCAGGCAGGATGGGCTGAAACTGCTGGCAGAAGTTAGGCAGGGAGGTGGCATCATGTTAAGTAAAGTACAACGTTCCATTTGGGAACCCAATAGGAAACCAAGCAGGTGTGAATACTCAGACGCTCATGTTACTGATTCCTTCCAGGACAGGAAGCCTTCCCCCCATCCATAGCAGAACCCCTCAGGGAAGAAGAGGGTCAGGTTTCAGCACAGCTCCTCTTTCTCCACCTGCAACCCCTTCAGATTTATGACAGGTTTGAAAGTACTGTAGGAGGACAGCTAGAAAGGTTTCCATCATGGCTTTGCAAGCTTTCTGATTCATTGCTGAGTCTCTTTTCAGTCCCATTTAGGGGGGGAACCCCAATATCTTGGTGAAAATGGCTTGTTTGTACAGTGAGCAGGATCATCCATGGAGAACCCCAGGTTGGAAACTGGGTGCACCATTTGTTTTAGGATATTGAAACAACTCAGAAGAAAAGACCCCATACGGATCAAGTTGGAGCAGCTGGAACAGGGATTTACTTTATACGTGAATGGTGCTAACTCAGAGCTGAGGAACAACAGCAAGCAAGTGAACCTGCGGAACTTTGTCAGAAGAGGTGAACGAATAGTCCGGGGAAACGGTGAGTTTCTTCTCATAATTGCAGCTACAAACGCATTTAGACTGCTACACCGGGAACAGACAGAATCTTGCAAAGAGGGCTTGAGCCTCAGCTAAGATGAAACTTGGGATCACTCATTGTGGATATGTTATGCCGTGGCATTAAGAATGTTGCCTAGGCTTGCTCTTTTGCTTTCTAAATTTGACACATACAGATGGGTTGTGGTGAAACCTAGTTTCTACAAAACAAGCAAATTAGAGAATGCCAAGGGCATGCCTGCAACCCAAGCCCCCCAATTGTTCCTTTTTCTCTTGGCAAAGCCTGCCATGTATGTCTGAGATTGTAGACTCTGAGGGGGCAAAAGGTGTGGCCCTCCAGCTGCAGCCCTGGTGATTTCTAGGCTGCATTGCGATTTCTAGGGCCACCTGTTTCCCACTGCTGGACTCTGGTCACTCATCCCTTGGGGCAGAGGTGGGGTGGCACTTGGCAACTTTCGGCTCTTTCTTGTTCTCTGTCTCCAAACGGTCTTGATTTCGCTTCAGACACGGTCACAAGTGCCTTGTTAAAAGAAGGAGATGTGCAAAGGAGGGGCACGCAGACTGCACCGGGTAAAATCCAGCGCCGAGAGTGGCTCCAGGTACGGGAAGGCAGCCTCAGCTTCACTACCTGACACCTGCCGTTTTATAAAGGCTTCTTGGGTGGCAAGACTGTGGACGGCCTCTGCCCCACTGCTGGGTTTAGAACTAGTTGCTGGTCAGAGATGGGAATCCTTTCGAACCTACAGCTTGTTAGTGTTGAGCCATGCAGCTTGTGTGGCCTCAGCCTGTTCTGCTGTCCTGCTGAAAAGAGACAAGGCGCTCCCTTCCGTTGCCATCAGCAAAACAGGAGGGACCGTCACCTTTAAGTGCAAACTACTTTTCACAAATGCTCTGTGAAGCAGGCTGGGCAGTTGCCTTTTGGCCCCCTGTTGAGCTGCCCGGCTAGCACAAAGTTTGAGGCTAGAGTCTGATAGACAGTGAACTCCATGTTGCAGGTTAAGCTTAATGTATACTAAATTGTGCAAGGTGTGACATGTAGTGTTGGCTTGTTAATTCTCTAGGGTTCAAGATCCTGGTGCAGTGGAAAAGCGAAGCACATGGAAATGGAGGGGTGCTGGAACAGAGGGGAGGGAGGGGACGAGGCACCATGGGCGAGCGGTCAGATTAGGCAGAGAATGTCTAGCAGCGTTCTTTTGGAAAGTCCCCCCCCCCCGAAGGCCATGGGAGATACCTTTGGTTGCGTTCTAAGAGCTGCTTATTCCTTGAGAGAATCACACAAACGTGGTGACTTTCCACAATTTTCTAGAAAGCCGTGCAAATCAAAACAGAGAGTGGATCTCGGGTTTGCATTGCTCCTCCTTCTGAATACTCCGAGGACTTTGAACCTTATGAAAGCCTGAACCTGGAATCAGAGGACCCTGAACAAGATGATCTTTGTCAGGTACGTGTGCCTCCCACCTTCTAAATGTGACTTATCCTCAAGGCACAGACTTCAGGGGACACCTACCAGGAAGGAACTCCCAATGCAAGATGGCTGCTTCTTTCTTCATCCCCTTATGACTTTCTAGTTTTACTCAGCTCCAGCTGAGGAGATACTTGAAGCGCTTCCAAGAGTGTGGAAACTTCCGAACCTCAGGCATTGCAGGCTATAGGTGCCACAGGCCTTTACTCCTGGTGGGCGATGCTTTGTGGCACTGAGGGAGCCTGTCCTCCCCTCTGTTTTAGAGCCTGATGATGGAGGCTGTCGTCTCCGGGCAAATGTCTCTGACACGCCTTGTGCATCTTGACAGCAACACCTCGCTGCTTGTGCCATTCAAGCTGCTACTGCAGCCTCTTTGTGTGCTTGTCTGTGTTGTTTCACCAGTTGGTCTGCAATATTTGGATGGTATTATAAGGTAACTTAAAAAATAGTTACTCTTTAGTCTTGGAATTCTTAGATTTTGGTTTTCTCTTAAAGAATGGGTAGTTGCCACCTTTTGTATAGCTCTGGATTATTTTGCGGTTGCACCCTACAGGATTAGCTGTCTGTGAGAACTCTATGAGGTGTTTCCATACTGAACAACTGTGATTCGAGCTCTGCCCAAGAGGGAGCGGTTAGGCTGGCATGTTTTCTCTCCTTCTCTTTGATGAGTCTGGGAAAGGGAAGCCCCTGTAACTTAGAGTTGACATTGGAGGGTTTGCTGCTGCTTCTGAAGGAACTCTTCAGTCTGTACAAGAAGTTCCCTGTCTACTTTCTAGCCTGAAGAGCATTTGCAGGGTATTCTAAGGATGTGGTTTTTATCCTGGCAGAAATTATTTCTGAAACTCAGCTGGAGAGACCATGACATTTACCTTGTTATCAGTGCAATTGCATTTTCCATGCAAGGAGTGAAAGGTGTCATCCTTACTTTCCACTCTTGGCAATTTGTCTTTTCTAATTAGGCAAACATCTATAAATGGAATCCCAGTGAGTTCTTTATCTTTGTTTCTAGAGCCTTGAGTCTCCTGGACGTTTGGTCCCCAGTGGTGCTGCGCTCTATGGTCCAGAGGCGAAACTAAGCATGAGCAGCGATGCCGGAAAGGGACAATTGCTCCTCGATGCGGAGGATGTGCAGGTACCAAGCAGCCGGGTGTTTTGTGCTGATGGGACTGTGCCGTCAGGCCTTCCAAGGTGACCTCAAGCCACAGTTGGGCAGGCCTTAGAGACCAGAGGTCTGCATGATCTCTCCCATCCATAACTAGCATTTTCCCTGAGTGGCTTTTACAGCACACATTCATGCAGAGGTAAATTCCTGTGTATTCAATAGGCTTTCTTCTCTGTGTCCCTCATTTACACACTGAGGACGAAGCAAGAAATGCAGGGAACTGGGGTCATTCAAAAGCTCATGGGAAATGTATTTGAGTGTTTCACCTGAAAACATATTTTTAGCATGAGAGTTTTAACCCCATGGGTTCCTCCCCCCCAACAGAAACGGAGCTGGAGGATGAGTAGTATGTACTGTTCCTTGGGGGAATTGCATTTTCCATATTGGGAATGTCACCTAGTCGATATGTACAGCAAAAAAGCTGTTTTGTTAAAATGTTGTTTTGTTAGATTGATTGTGTGGAGTTTGGTTTCTCCAGCGGTGTGTCTGCTTTGCATGAGAGGTGAGCAGCCTTTGGCCGTCCAGGTGTTGAACTGCAACTCTCACCCTCCCTCATTGTTGCTGGATGAGGCTGACCCTCTGCAGCCTCCGAGAGGTCACAGGTTACCGCCTCCAGCAGCCTGGGCTGCCCAGGACTCCAGACTGTCTTCTTTTTAGCCCTCTCTAGCCAGGCTGTTTCAGGGATGGGACCGGGGACCTTTCGTGCCACCGTTGGGTTGGGGCATGTCAATATAAGACTTTTTCCTTTGCAAGTCTGCTCATCAGCAGGCGCTGCTGGCCTCAGAGAGGTATACCCCCCCCCGGTCAATGGGAATAGGACTGCGCCCCTTAATGCGGATTGTTTGTTGGCCTGCCTCTGTGCAATTTGTGTCAGGAACTCTGTCAGAGCTTGGAGCTGGCCAGAAGTGGGAGCAGGATAGAGAAAGACTGTTCAGAGGGGGAGGAGTCTGACTCTGTGGAAGAGGATGTGCCTCCGGAGCCCCCTGAGGCAGAAGAGCCCACAGAGCCTTCTAGAGGGAGCCCCGACTTGAACCTCAGGCGTGCAGCCACCTCTCCAGCAAGTGGGCCGTCCTGCCGCCTCCATGTTGCTTCTCCTGCCATCCTGGAATTCAAGCTGGATTTCCCAGGTAAGTCTAGATGTGTTCTAACTCGCTGTCTGCACAGTTGACCCTGAATGAGAGACTTTCAGAAGAAAAAGCTAACCCATTAACAAGGGGGGGGGAGAGAAAAATGTCTTTTATAGTCATAAGAGAGAAATTTGGGAACATTCTGGTGGCTTCATTCGAAGTGCAGCTAGCTACTGTGCATGTTGCTGAGGAGGTGTTTGCTTCTCCTCTTGTGAGACCCTGTGTGTGTGAAGTTGTTGTGCGTGTATGGAGAGTGGGGGTGTGCTTTCCATGCCTTTCAGTGCTTTGTTGGGAACGATCACACTTTGGCTTTGGTATGGAGAGCAGAGCCAGAGAAGCCCCTTGGTCCTCATTATGCCGTGGCCAAGATGCAGCTGATCAAAAGAGCACCCGGGAGATCCCCTTCAGCTCACAAAATTGGGTTGCTTTTGTCTTTGCCACCTCTGGAAGCTGCTCTTTCTCTGAAGGGGGTGCCAGCATGGCCTCTTTCCCATTGGATGTCTTCTTTCCCCTGCAGTTGTGAAGAAGGAGCGAAGCCTCTCTGCCAGGAGGAAGGGCAGTCTTGAGCCCTACGTCCCCACCAGGCCTGCGAGCCAAGCTGAGGGTCTGCACCAGGAGGAACAGGGAAGAGTCCTCTCCAGTAAGGGAGGCAGTTATTCTCTGCTTTGCTTGGAAGAGCTTGATCCAGGAGGAGGACAGGCTGTGTTGGTGGAGAGGGACAGCTGCCAAGTGCTGGTTTCTTCCCCAGGACCTGGCTTGAGAATTCAACCAGGAGGAGGACAGGCTGTGTTGGTGGAGGGGGGCAGCTGCCAGGTGTGCCTTGCTGGTTTCTTCCCCAGGGCCTGGCTTGAGAATTCAGGCTGTGGAACTTCTTGCTCCGGTTGCCATGTGTTGCTGTCAAGTGCCAGTAGCCCTTTGGGATCTTGTTAGTCAGGAAAGCAAAACCTTATTTCTTTCCTTCCAGAGAAAGGAGAAGGAGCGCATTGTGACTGGTGTGAGTCTCTGAAAGAGGGTGGCCTATTTCTCTTAGGATGTGGCCTTTCTTTGGTGTGCTAAGAGGATAGAGGCAACCCTCCACTGCCCCCCTACAGAAACATGGCTTGTCAAGCTGCCTCCAGCCCTCAAAAGCTGCTGTCTAGCTTAGATTGAGCTTCCAGCTGTTTTCCCCTTGCTCAGCGAAGGCCCTCTTGGGTGCTCTGCCTCTCCTGCCTTTCAGTTTTCTCAGTGTCCAAATGGACTTCGGCCTCTGATGGCTTCAGGGAAACTCACCATGATGTCGTTCTCTGTCCAGCTTGTTAATGGCTTTCTTAAGGTCGTTCTCCTCCTCTTAGCTGTGCCTGTGATTGACTTTGTCCCACAGCATGTTCTCAAAGGGACAGTTCTTCCTCCGTGATCTTTTGTTTTCTTGTGATGCAGAACTTCGGATTCCTGCAGACATGGTCACCTTGCGCGTGGCCGTTTATTTTCATTTTCCCATTCCCCAGCGCCACTCAGTTCCCATGGAAAGGGCACAGGGCCTGGACGGCCCCTCCCGCATGGCCCCAGATGGCCCCTTGCCTTTGCTCCTCCCAAGGCCCAGGTCTTTCTCTCCCGCAGAACTGGACTGGCTTAATGGAGATTGCTTTGTGGGGTGGGGAAGGCCTTCCCTCCTTCCGCCTCTTGACGGGGCTGGGGGCTTGCACCAGGGACAAGACCGGGCGTCCCATCCTGAGCTGGAGAAAGAGGGGCAGCTTTCTCCTCTCGTGTGTCCCGGGTCAGTCCTGGGATGTCTCTAAGAGTTCCTTGTGTCATGACTCCAGAACCTGTTCAACTTCCCTGGGACAGGACTTGCTAGCGTGCTCCGAAAGTGCGTTGCTCAGGCGTGTTCTACTTCTCTGGTATCAGGGCCGGTGAGCCGATCAGAAAGGCCCCTCTCGGCCACTCGGAAGAACATCTGTGAGAAGAAGGACCCCGTGCGTTCAGCCTCCGTGGTCCTGAAAGCTGTGCAAGCGGAAAACGAGGCCCTGCAGCAGGAGATTCTCCGGAAGCAGCCAGGACCCGAGCAGGAGGAGCAAGCCATCTCTGCAGAGGTCAGGAGCGCCTGCAGTCTCTCTACCCCGCCTGTCCCCCCCCCAAACGTGCTCTCTGGGTCAGTTGGTCCCACGGAAAGCTCTGTGGATCAGACTGGCAGAGAGCGCATGGCTGTAGAGCCCTCCCTGCTCCCAGGCTTGGCAACCAGGGCGCTGCTGTGGGGGACTGAGGGTCCTTGGAGGGTGAGTGTCTCCCTCCATCTCTCTCCAAGTGTGATGGCAGAAAGGGCACGGGATCTCCTCCTGGAAGGCTGAGCTTGGAGGAGTGGGAGGTTTGGAAAACCAGGAAGATCTATTCTTTGGGGTGGGGCTGGGGGTGGGAGGGAGGAAGAAGAGAAAGAACAAGGATCATTGCAAACGAAAACATAGCCTCCTGTGTGCTCCTTCCCCCTCCCCCATTCTCCCTGCATGGCCCAACATCCTGGTTCTCACAGAGCCCTGGAAGAGGCCACTGACGTCCGGGGCCTCTGTGTTCATTCTGTCCTTCTTCCGCAGCAGCCACTGCCATTTTCTTCAGGAACACATGGGCCTCCCCCAAAGGCGCAGGAGGGAGCAGCCATCTCTACAGCCACCGAAGGGACAGGGCTGCTGGGAAGCAGGTGTGTGTGTGTGTGTTGAGAGTCTGTTCCCAGTTGTGTGGGGTTGTGCTACCTTGACTCACCCTGGCCCTCTGCCACCCCCGGCCTCTGTCCAGTCTTGCCTTTGTTTTGCGGAGGAGAGGACTGAGGGGCCCCTGGGAGACCTTGGACACAAGGGGCAGACATGGGGAAGAAGCGTTTTCGGGTTGGGTGATTTCTCCGGTGATCCTGGGGGTGAGGAGCTGGGAAGGCTGGCTCTGCAACTCTGGCGTAGGTGGCAAGAGAGGAGGTTTGGGGCTGGTTTGCCTCCTCAGAGCACGAGGGACGGTGGTGCTCCCAAAATCTAGGCCAGAAGGGCAGGGCCTGAGTGGACAGGGCACTTGGTGGGAGCTGAATGAACCTGGGCTGGCTAACGCTTGGAGGCACCTGCGGCCTTCTGAAAGAGGGCCTCAACCTTGCCCGTCAGCCAAACTTGCTCCCTGAGCCAAAGCCAGTTTTCTAAGTGGCCCCGTGATTTCGTCTTGGCTGCTCAGGGTCCAGTTGAACACCGACAACAGGTTGTTGATTGGGGAGGGGGGCTACGTTGGCTGCCCTGCTGCTTTGCCTTTGATTACCCCAGCATTGCCCCCTTTTCCTCCTCCAGGCATCCAAAGAAGCTTCTGAAAGTGTTGCAAGAGATTGAGAGCCAGTCTCCCTGCCGTAGCCCTGTCGTGTTGGGCTCGGAACAGCCAGAGCCACGCATTCTGGTAGGATGCGAGAGTTTTCAGAACATTGTCATAAGGCCATCCTTGCCCAGTTCTGTGGAAATAAAGCTGTGAGTTGAATGAGGGTGGAGAACTGAGAGCTGGCACTTGACCCCCTGAGGGCTGCAGCTGCATGGAACTGGAGAGCGTCTCCCTTTGGCGAAGGCAACTTCCTGCAGGCGCCTGGTTGCCATTGAAGGTGTAGGGAGGGCCTTCTGAAGGTGTAGGGAGGGCAGGCCGCCTCAGCTGGTTCCCTGGAAGGGAACAGCTCCCAGGGGTCTCCTTTTCCTGGTTGGCATGGAGCAAGAGCCATGTGGGCAGGGACGGTGCCCTCTGCTTTTCTTTCCCGCTTCTATGGTTGAGATCTGTGTCCTCTTGAGGTCTCTGTCCAGGGCAGCCTTCAGCCGAATAGGTGGGTTGACTTCCAGATGAGCTTCCACAGGTTGTCCTGAACGCATCTCCTTGTAGGAGCAGCTGGAAGTCCGGGATGCCATTTACATCACTGTGGAGGTCCTTTCCAACTGGGGTGATGCCCGACGGGTGGGCCTGACGGAGGTGGAGTTCTTTGACCTGCACCACAGGAAGCTGTTTGTCTCTCCGCATGATGTGGACCTCCGGCACAGTGACTCCCCTGGGGAGCTGAGCTGCCTAGTGAACGGTAGTCGGATGGTGAGACCTCAGCCTTCGCTCCGCGGCCCAAGAGAGCAGAGGGGCTTCCTAGGCCTCCTTGTGTGCCAGGGGCTCCCCAGGAACATTTGAGTGGCTGCAGCTTTGCCCTGGGCTGGAGGCAGCTGGTTAAGACCAAGGCCTGCCTAACCCTTAGCCTGTTGAAACCCAGCCAGGTCAACCAACTGACGCACCTTCCGCACCCTTAAAGGAAGTGGCCGGCCACACCACCCTTTTCTCAACAGCTCTGCCTTGCTAATCTGTGCGTGTGTCAGTGACCATAAAGCTGATTACTGTGATTAGCCTGGCTGGAGGCAGGCTCCCTTTTGTTTCCCCCTGCTCCTAGTCAGAGAGGGGCCTTGGCTCTTTTGGGGGCAGAAGGCAAGAGAAGCAGCACTTCCGTGTGTTCTTGGCCTCCCTTTCTACCCTCCCAGGGGCTGCCTCCCACCCAGCTGGACTTCTAGGCCCTCTGTCTTTTTTTACCTTGCAGGTCAGCAAAGACCGTTTTCCCTGGACGTGCCTCTTCCAGCCTCCGGTGCAACTGTACTTTGTGGTCCGAAATCCCAGCCTTTCAGGCGACTTTGGTCTTTCCAGGATTAGGATTTGGAATTACAGCACTTCAGTTGTTGGTGTAAGTGACACGACCTTTTCTTTTCTCCTCCTGGTGGTGAACTAAACCTCAAGGCAGGCATGTCTGGTAGAGAGTCTGGTGGAGTGGAGAGGCAGGGGAGGTAGGTGGGCTGTGGACAGATTCCTCAGGAATGGTCAGTGGTTTAATTTGAAGTGGCAGAAACACTTTGGCGAAATCCTTCAAATGATTCTGGAGATAGCTTCAAGACTTACGGGGGAAATCAGCCGTTTTAGGTAGGAAGCGCTCATGGGATGTTTGGATCTTGTGCTTAGATATGATCATAGGGGATGAGGTGTTTAAAGAGAAGCCTCTTTCACCCTAGAAAAGCAGGCCGGAGGAGCAACGGCGGCTGTTAAAGGGACTAGCTAGGAAGGCTATGCCCAGCTGGTGTGTTCTCTGAGTTAGGCAGGCAGGTGGCCGGAGGTGCCCTCTTTCTGTCCCTGCTTTAGCTATCAGCCAGCACTCTGCGACCACTGGACAGGCTTCGTCCTTATGGGGCTGGGGCTTGGGGTGGGGGTGGAAACCTGGCCAGTCTGTCTTGTCCTTACACCGGTGGAACTGGGCATGTACTTGGGTGACGTGCGTAGCAGAGCAGTCAGGTCTTTTGTGTAGGCAGGGCCACATCCCACCAAAGCAGATGGCAGCCGGCTCCTGGCCCTGACATTCTCTCTGCAGATTGTTCCAGAGATCTGGCTAGGATGATTTGTCGAGAGTGGCTCCAGGTACTGAGTGAAAGAGGATTTTCTGTTCTGGATTATTGATGAGCTAAGCCTGATCCTTTCTGGCTTGTTTTCATCTCTGCCGTTACAGAGATGCAGGCAGAGCAGCCCAAGCGGATGGGAAATGGGGGAAGAGGGAGCCCCAAGGACTCCCCGTACAGCTAGCTGAGCTTTCCAAACTGACTGCAGTGGGGGAATTACTTGGAACTAGGGGGCCTGTTGGGATGGAGATACCTGTACAGGGGGTTCCATAACTGTCTTTGTACTGGCACCGCTTGGGAAGGAGAGCAATGAAACGTTGCCACATTTAAACTCAGACTGAGCTGCTGTGTGTTTTTGAAAGGACCTCTCTCCCAATCACAGTGCCCCCCCCCACAGGTGGCTCTTGCCACATCCACCAGCACACAGCCCTGGTCTCCCCCGTGCAGGCCCTCAGGGTTAACAAAGATTGCCTGCCCATGCTTTAGCACAGTCCTTCCTTTGGCATCCAGGAGCTTCCTGGCCGGTCGTGCATGTGTGGAGACCTTCCAATGCTCAGCCTCCTGTACGGTTGCCTCTCTCTTCCTGCCTCACCCAAGGGGGTTCCATGGGATAGAAGGAGGGAAAGGAGTCTTGCCCAGCCCTTTGGGGCACGTCCATCCAAGCAAAGACCGGCCTCTCGTTTCCTCCTCCAGGACCTGGACATTGGAGCCCGGGAAGTCCTTGTCTATGTGGACGGAGCCCTCCTCTTTGCCGGGGAGTTGCCCAAAGGCCGCATAACCCCCGCCAGGGATGGCAGCCACTGCACCACCCTCGACCTCCCGGCGGCCGTCTCGCTTTCTCCACAGAGGAGGGAAGAAAAGGACCGGGTCCCTCCCGACCGGAGCCAGGAAACGGGCAAGGGTTTGTCGGCTCTGAGCGCTTCCTTGGAGGGAGATTCCCCCGAGGGGACAGCCTCCTCGGCCAGTGTCGTTGAGCTGGAGGAAGGTCCTCGGGCAGAGTCAGACCCAGCAGTTTCCACAACACGTGTGAAGGTCCCCCTCCCAGCAGACGCCACAGACTTTGACCAGTCGGAGGATGATGACCTTCCTCTGAGCAAGCAAATGGAAAAGCTGTCTGGAAGGAAGCTGGCCTTGCCCCGTTTGGTTTCCCCGCCTTCTGAGGCCAAAGGAAAGGGCGAGGCCGGCACTTCTAAGCCCAAGCTCCTTCCTTGGCTTGAGCCAGGATCCTCTCTGGACCTGCAGGGCCGGCAGCCCTTGGAGATTCTCAAGAGAGGGGGCTCTCCAAGAGTCACAGAAGAGAGCCCTTCCTTCTGGCCAGCTGAGAGAATCAGCAGTGAGCCCCCAGGGGTGGATGAGGCCTTGCCCATGGGTGCCACGAGGGAGCCTGCTGCCGGTGTGGATTTCCTGAGTCCCCTGCCTTCCAAGTACAGGTCCACCGCAGAGCCGCCCCTGGTGGGGCGAAATGTCAGGGGCGCGGAAGGGGAATTTAGCTGTGCCTTGTGCAGAGACAAAGCTCCCACCGAGGAAGGTAAGAGCTGCCAACTCCCACCATCCCCGCCTGGTCCAGAAAAAGGGGAGGTACAGCCGAGGAACACTGAGAGAGGCAAGGTCTCCCTCCCTGCCCACTCAGTTGGGTCACGTGGCAACAGAGGGTTTTCTTCTGGAGGAGTCCTTTGTGCTGGCCTGTGCTTGGTGGTCTGCCACTTGTGGAGGGGTTGGAGCAGCGATTCCAGATGTTTTAGACTTCCACTCCCAGACGCCCCAGCCACGTTCCAGGAGTAGAAGTCCAAATCCTCGGATGGGCCAAACGTTAGGAACCACTGGTGCAGAGTTCAGCCACTCTCCTCCTCCTCAGGGCTGAATCCTGCTTAACTCTTCAGGAGAATCACGAAGAGGCTGCCCTGAGGTTGTGCCTCAGTTCTTGGTGCAGCCGAGTCCAGAAGAGAAGGGAGCAGATGTGCAAAGAAAAGGTTTAGCTGTTTTGTCGTCAGTGAGTTTTCAGCCAGAATCTCATTTGTTTCCCCCTGCAAAAGGCTGCACCTCCATCTGCTGAGACAGGGCCCTTTCTGTGCTCTGCCCTGAGGGAGAGAGCCTGGCAGGGCTCTGCTGCTGAGCCTTTGGTCACAGTTAGTCCCCGCGCTGATCTGCAGGGAAGGCTGATCTGTGAAGTACGTAAAGGAAGCACAGTCCGTTTTTTTGAATCCATAAATCTCTTCATTTTCTCTGCTCGTACTCTCTTTGTTTAGCTCAGGGAGGCATGTTATCCGATAGAAATCCTCCCTCTAATGAGATTCCATCCTCTGGTGAGAAATTGAAACCCAAGAGGTCTTGGTGCCTTTTCATCCCTTTAGCGGAGAGGATGTGACCATATGAGACCAAATTGACATCCCTGCCCAGTTTGTACAAGAGGCACATAAAGCTGCTGTGATTGGATTTCCTGTCTTTTCCTCTGCTGAAAGCTTGTTTCACAACAAAAAGAATCTTTGCCAGGGCCATCGTGCCGCCTCAGGTGCCCCTTGCCCTGAGCAAAGCCGTGGGTGAGGCTCCTGCCTTAGGTTTGGGGTGGCCTGGCGCTCCAGAGGGTGGCAGGAGAGGAAGACCTCTTGAGCTGTGTTTCAGCTAGGCCCTCGGGGTCAGTTTGACCCACACCCCGACAGCAGAAAACCTGGGTGTGTTTTTGTTCCCCTGAGTCCCAGCCGGAGGTTGTGGAGAGCCTGTGCCTTGTGTCCAGAGCCCCTGGTCCTTTTCTCTGGGAAGGTCTCTCCACGCCCACCCACCCACCCCAGCTTGCAGGCTCATGTCAGCGCTTCTGCCTAGGTGGCTGGGAGATCTTTGCATCGATGAAACATGCATCCACGCCAACGGTCTCCCTTTTCCCCTCCTCTCTTCTTTTGCTGCCTCCCTCCCTATCACCCCCCCTTGGCTCGTAGTGTGCCCATTGTTCAGTTGTCGGGTCCATTTATATCTTAAGCAGAAGCAATGTATGGCCCTTCTGCTCCTCCCTGCTCTGGTCCCCTCAGAACAGCTGTGGGAGAGAAGTCAGGCTGAAGACTGACTGGCCCAAGAATAACCAGTGAGCGTCATGGTTGGGGTGAAGTGGGAAGGGCGGGGGGGGGAGAGATACGAACCCAGCCATCATTGTGGTAGTCGGCCGTTCAATCTGCACCGCTCAGGAGCTGGAAAGCTGCCCCCTGCTTCTTTCCCTTTCAGGCCAGGCTCCTCCGCCTCCCAGCAAAGGTAGTGCCAGGCCCTCCCGAGCCAAGTGGGGCAGTTCCCCAGAGGACACCTTGCAGGAGTCCTGGAATTCCCTCCTGAAGTTCAACCACTTGCACCATGGCCGCATCTCCAGCCTGGATTTCCAAGGGGACATTTTTGACGAGTTTCTCCACCAGCAGAAGATCAGTCGGGCGGGAGAGCCGCGGCTCCCATTCAAGGAGGGCGGGCAGGAGGCCCCAAAGCCTCAGGAGGGGGAGCCTGGCTTGGAGCTGCTGGAGGAGGGGCCTGACTTTAAAATCCCCCTCCTCCCCTACGGGCAGCACCTGAAGGTGGAGATCCATTCCACCTGGGGAGACCGGCACTACGTGGGCCTGAACGGAATCGAGCTCTTCAGCTCCAGGGGGGAGCCCATCCGAACGGTCCGGATCGAAGCCGACCCTCCGGACATCAACGTCCTGCCGGCCTACGGCCAAGACCCCCGGGTGGTGGGCAACCTGCTGGATGGGGTGAATCGGACCCAGGATGACATGCACCTGTGGCTGGCCCCCTTCACCCCGGGGAAGCCCCACTGCATTTTCCTAGACTTTGCTGAGCCCTGCGAGGTGGCCATGATCCGCATCTGGAACTACAACAAGTCTCGTATTCACTCCTTCCGGGGCGTGAAGGACGTCACGATACTGCTGGACGAGCGCTGCATCTTCCGAGGGGAAATCGCCAAGGCTTCTGGGACACTCGCTGGAGGTGCGGAGGGGAGGGGAGGGGGCTTCCCTAGGTTTCCTTCTGCCTTGTCATCAGGAGGGTGGTGTGGCTGCCAACCTTCTATCCAGGCTACTGTTACTACTGCTTTTCATCGGTTACCTTTAAGCCCACCTTTTCTCTAGTGAGTTGAAGGCAGCCTCTTTGGCTCTCTTCCTCCACACCTTGATCCTTAGAACAACGACCCTGAGGTAGGTCAGGTGGAAAGGGTGTGACTGGCCCACGATCCCCACAGGGATTTGAACCCAGGTCTCCCAAGTCCTAGTCTGACCCTCTAACCACTGTACCTCACTGGCCCTGCTCTTTGAGAGGAGGGGGGGGCTCCCAAGCGTGGAGCTGCCAGCCTCCACCACTGGCTGTGAAAGTCTCTCCTGGTGGGGAGGGGGTTGTCGTCCAGTGGTGGTGGGGGCTTGGCCCTTGGCCCAGGGAGGGTCTTCTCGGGGGCGGGGGGGGCATCACAGAGCTTGCTGTGTTTCAGCTCCAGAGCAGTTTGGTGACACCATCCTGTTCACGACCGATGATGAAATCCTGGAGGCCATCTTCTGTTACGACGAGTCCTACGAGGAGGAAGGCGAAAGCCTTGGCAGCTGGCAGTACGAAGAGGAGCTGAAGAGGCCCCGGACGGCCGACGGAGAGGGGGACGAGAGGCCCTTTACGCAGGCGGGCTCCAGGAGGGAAGACAAGCAGGTAAGGGGGCCAGATTGGGAGGGTGAAAATGTCCCAGGATGGAGGGAAGGACACAGGACACTGGCAGGAGAGGCTTCTCCCCTGGCCTTCCCTTGACACCCTTGCTGCCCGCGGTTTCTCCCATGGCTCCAGTTTGGCCTCTCTGTCTCCCACGTGTCCTAAGGCGGTTTCTCCTTCTCTTAAGTTCTTTTTTTGGGGTGGGTGGAAGAGGCCTCTGCTTGTTCTGAGAGGTCTCGGCAAAAGGCAATCCATCTTCCACTTTTTTCAGAGCCAGAAGCAGGTTGCTATGCCAGATTCTCTTCCGGATACAGTGGCCAAGGCGCCCGGAGTCTACCCTGGAAAGTGTGAGTCTGTCTGTCATTTGTGCTTTGCTCTCAGTGGGACCGCCATACGCTCATGGGTGGGACGGGCTACGGATTCACCACAGGCTGAAAGAAGGGTCATGTCGGGGTGAGAGAGGAAGCACTGTCCGCCAGTCATTCCTCAAGGAAGGCAGTCAGGAAGACTGGCTGGGAGAACCCTCTTCAGATGCCGGAGGGCAGGCAGCCTCTTAAAGGGAAATCTGCCCAGCAGGACTCTTGCAAACAGTCTCTTCCACGTTAAGACAACTTGTAGGAGGCAGGGATGCTCGCTCAGTTTAGGGGGAGTGCCCCAGAGCTGACACCCCCACCTCTGCCTCCTCTTAGGCCTTCAGCTGAACTTCACCGCCTCCTGGGGGGACAGCCACTATCTTGGACTGACGGGGCTCGAAGTGGTGGGCAAGGAGGGCCAGGCCATCCCCTTCTCTGTGGATCAGCTCTCTGCCTCCCCTTGGGACCTGAACGAGCTCCTGGAGTACACAGAGGACTGCAGGACCTTAGATAAGTGAGTGTGGCCGTGGGGAAGGGTGGGCGGGCGGGAGGACCACACCTCAGGCATTGCTGGGACCCCCTCGGGATGCTTCTGGGGAGGGACTCCTGAACCCTCAGAGCGATGTCACTCAAATGAGCCAGTGGGAGGCCCCGTGCCCTCAATGAGTGCCAAGGTCCTCCCTCCCCCACTGGGTCCTTCTGGTACCTACGGACTGCCCCTTGGGCTTTCTGTGGTTAGATCTGCTCTGAATTGCTGTGCGTGTGGTTCTGGCTGAGCAGATCTCTGCAGACAAAACAGTTGGGATCAAGTGCAGCCAATACCTGCATGTTAAACAGAGTAGAAACAAACAAACAAACAAACAAACAAACAAAGAAGCAGAGGTGGCAATAATCTCCACTTTCTCCCCCTTAGCATTTCAGTCTCGCTAGCATCCATTCTCAATTCTGTGTCCCAGCCTGTGCTCTGGCCAGTCTTTCCTGGAGAAACCACCCAACCCCCCCCCCCGCTTTCTGTTTTGTACGGACAGGTTAATCGACGGAACGAACATCACTATGGAGGACAACCACATGTGGCTCATTCCCTTCACCCCTGGAGGAGATCATGTGGTCACCATCCATTTTGGTCAGATGGAAAACATTGCTGGTCTTCGCATCTGGAACTATAACAAATCTCCCGAGGACACGTACCGAGGGGTAAGCAGCCCCGGAGGAGAAGGCGCGGGACTTCCCATCCGTGGCTGAGGCCGAAGGGTCCTGCTCCCAGGAGTCAGGGGCTCAGTTCGCCGGCCTTAGGGATCCTCCAGCCGGGGGAGGGGGAGGCCACAGAGGGGGGCTTGTGGTCGCCTCCCAGGAGGGAGCGGTCAAGCTGGAGGGCTCCTTGGTGCTCCCTCTTTCCCACAGGCCAAGGTGGTCCACGTGTCACTGGACGGCTGCTGCATTTCGCCGCCCGGAGGCTTCCTGATCCGCAAAGGGCCCGGCAACTGCCATTTTGATTTTGCCCAGGAAATCCTCTTTGCTGACTATCTGAGGGGACCCCCAGTCGTCCCCGTGCGAGAGCGGTGAGGGAACTGGGCTCCGGTCCCAGATGTGCCTCGGAGGCAGCTCCCGGCGGGGTGGGGGAGGTCTTGAGTGGCGAGTCCTGACTCAAGGCAGGGCGTTGCCTGTGTTTTGCAGGAGAGACATGAAGAAGGTGGAGCACGCCAGCATGGACTACGAGGCGCCCCTCATGCCCTGTGGCTGTATCCTTCTCCTCTCCTGAGAGCCCCCCCCTTCCGGCCCCTTCCAGCCCCTTTGGCCCTCCCACTTTCCACTTCTCTGGCATGTGTTTCCACTTGAGGGAGGGAGAGAGGGGTGTGCGTGCATGCGTGTGTGTGGAGTGGAGTTTGTTTCCAGGGGGGAGGGTCCACTGCAGGGAGGGCCTCTTTGTGTGCCCTGTCAGCCAGGACTCCCACCACCTGTTCTGTAGCAAAGGCACCTGCTGGAATTTCCTTTTCTGATCCACACAAACCGGAGTCTCCTGCTGGCTTTACAGTCCTGCTGCCAAACGGTTTAGCTGTGTGCGCGACTGGTGGGACACGCTGTCCTGGTGGTTGTCCTTGTCTTCTCCTCCTCCTCTGCGGCTCAGGACTCAAAAGACCCTGCCTCCCTCCCTCCCTCCACCTTCACCGTCCTGCCTTTGCCCCCCCCCAGCCAGTGGTAGGAGCCCTGCCTTGCCCTGCCCTGCCCAATGGACTGCCTGAAGGCATAAGGACGTGCTGGGGAGCCTTTGGTCTGGCCCTCCTGGGCAGAGCCCTCTCTGCTCTCCCTCTCTGCCCAGTGAGAAAGGGTGGCACTGTGTCAGGTGCTGGTCTTTTGCCATCGGCCGCTGTTGTGATGGTTTCTGCGTCCTGCCAGCTGCCTGTCCAGGAGCTGAGGTTGGGGTGGAAACACACTGGCTGGATCATTCCTTCATTGTCTTTTATCAGTCATTTTCCAGTTCCAGCTGCTGACGAGCTGGGGCGACCCCTACTACATTGGCCTGAATGGACTGGAGCTGTATAACGAGTGTGGAGAGAAGATTCCCCTCAGTGAGAACAGTATCCTTTCCTGGAAGCCCCAGATCTGTGGCCAAAGGGGGGGCGGGGGGGCTGCGCAAATGGACAGATGGCCAGTCAGGTGGAATCCCCTGAAAAATGCTACAGCCCCTTCTGAACAGTGCCCCTTTCATGCCGACAATGCTTAGCCCCTGGCACCAAGCAGAGCCCGATGTCAGCCTCATGCAAGGAGACGTTTCCTCTGCAGCTGACGACTCGTTTCCCTCCCCCCCCAATGGCCATGCTCTGAGAGCCGGAGCATCAGCCTCCACCAGAAGAGGTGCAGGAAGGCTTTCTCCTGTCTGGGGCAAGGAACAGTCTCAGGCAACCCAGGACACCCGACCAGCTTCCTAAGGGGTGGAGGTTCTGGGTGCCCATCACTGCCCTTTGGATGCCCTTCATCCCGCTTCCCTCATTGCTCCACCCCTCCTGGGAGGTGGCCACTGAGTTTTCCCCGGGGGACACTGCCTTGTCTGTTTCCCTGAGAGGTGAGCAGATGGCTTGAGCATACAGTCCCTGTAAATTTGGTGGGGCTTCTGTCCTGCGTAAGAGGTAGTCGGCTGAGAATCTGATGGCAATTGGGGGCAGGTTTTTGTGGGGGGGGGAACGCGGGGTAAAGCCTTGGCCTCAGGAATCATCCTTGATGTCCCCTGTCTCTGAGATATTGCTGCCTTCCCAGACAGCATCAACATTTTGGATGGAGTCTGTGGGGATGTCCGCACCCCAGACAAGCTCATTGACTCCGTGAACGACAGCAACGATGGGAGGCACATGTGGCTGGCCCCCATTCTGCCTGGCTTGGTACGCTCCCCTGGCATCTTCTACCCACCCTTCTTTCTCCTGTGGTCTGAATTGTCCCTAAGAAGAACTTCTGAATGCTGCACCGGAAGCCAGAGGGTGGGGCTCTGCCATGGGTGCCCAGCCCTCAGCCCCCCGTGGGGGCCCTTCTGCAGGCGCCCCACCACGGGCCATGAGCTGGGAGGGACTTCCAGCAAAGGCCTGCTCAAGAGCCGCTTTGCACTCTTCTCGTGGCTTGTCGTGCTGCCTTCTAACAAACGTTTTTGTCTCTTCTCGGTGGTGGCAGGTGAATCGAGTGTATGTCATCTTTGACGTTCCCACCACCGTCTCCATGATCAAGCTGTGGAATTATGCCAAAACGCCGCAAAGAGGAGTTAAAGAATTTGGAGTAAGTGCTTGTTCCTAAACTCTTTAGAGTGCTGCTGTTCTATCCCCGAGAGCCTTGGTGATCCATCTGGTTGTTTATCTGTTTTTTGTGGGTTCCGTTTTCATAGGAAAAGGTCTTGGCCAAGCCGATGAAATGGTCTTACCCCGATTCAGGGTGCTGGTCTGTCTAGCCCAGAGTTCTCGGAGCACACGATCACCAGCTGTGACCAGCCGCAGCTTCTCAGCTCATCCTCTCTGTTTGGCTAGCAGTGGCTGCCTCGGATCAGCCGCCAAGGCTTAGGGTCTCCCTCCCCTCCCCTCCCCTCCCCTCCCCAGCAGCTCAAGAAAGAGCCTTTCCTCCTTCTCGATGCCTCCAGGAATGGAGCCTGGGCAAGGCAGGTGTTCTCCTGCAGCGCCGAAGGCACCCTGTTCAGAAGAAGGAAGGTGTGCCACCCGTCTCTTTGCCTGGCCTCGTCCCTTGGGGGCAGATCAGAATGGAAGGAAGCGCAGCTGGCCCCGCGGAGGCTCCCGCAGGGACTGGGAGGTCATGGTTGTGGTGTGCCCTGCCCAGATCTGAACCTCCTCGGTGTGTTCCAGGGGCCACAGGCTGAGTGGCCAAGTTTGGAAGCTGTGTGTGTGTGTGTGTGTCGTGGGGTGAGGACCGGGTGCCTGCTGGATCGTCACACAGGGCCCTCTTCTCTCCACGGCCTTGCAGCTCCTGGTGGATGACTTGCTGGTGTACAACGGCATTCTCGACATGGTCTCCCACCTGGTCCAGGGCATCCTCCCCACCTGCGACCCTGTGGTCCCCTATCACACCATCCTCTTCACCGACGACGAAAAGGTCTGCCGTCAGGAGAAGAACACTGTGATCAGGTAGGTCGACGCACGGGACGGAGTGCTGGCATCGTCCGTGTGGGGTGGATCAAAGCCGAGAGGACGGGGGGGGAGGGTGGTCTTGGAGGGGTCGGGAACACCCTCCCCAGGGGAGTTTTGGGTCCTGACTTCTCACTTCCTTGTTCCATTAAGAACCCAGCATTCCTTTTTGTTTAAGGGACCCTGGGTTTAAACCCTTGTGTTCCTGTCCTGTATGGAGAGCGCATGAGTTGCACATCCCCTCTCTTTGGGGGTCCCTTGACAGCACCTCTTGGACTTTGAGCAGAAGCTTGCATGGTCTTCATTTTCCAGCCCCAATGGCTTTTTTGACACAGACACACACACACACACCTCACCAAAAGAAGCTCTTCCACGGGGCTTCACCTAAGCGGCATCAGGCAGCCACCTTTCTGGTCAGAGCAAGGAAGTCTCGGCTGAGGTCGGGTCGGCTCTTCCCGATAATTTCACAGTTGTCCACAGCCAGCTTTCTGCCCGTGGACTGTGTGAAATGTAACGGAATTGGGAACACGGCTGCGACAAAGGGATTTCTACCTTGTGGAAGATCATTTTTTAAATCCCTCCAACTCAAAGGTCAAATGAAAGCAAAGGCATTCTTGGACTGGCACGAATGCGCCAAACAGGGATCCCACGGAGCCCCTTGGTTGCACAATAATCTTTGGAGGCAGGAGCGGAACGGTGATCATGGCTGGCGGCCAGCCTTGTCCCCCCCCTCCCCCGCTCGTGGGCCTTAGGAAGGAGGCTCGTTCCTGGCCGCAAGGGACCACTCTTCTGTCTCCCTCAAGGGCATATTCTGAGTCCTCATTTGGTCCCCAGCCGGCTGGCAAGAGGCCGGCGCTCCCACGTGAGAAGCAGGAGTGAGGCTGCAAGCAAGCCAAGAGAGTCTCTTCCAGAACATCATCTCCCCCCCCCACCCTGCCCCCCACTGGTTCAAGTGAGCCAGAGAGGAGGGGCTGGGGGGGGCTTGCTTGGGGACCCTGGGCAGAGGCACGCCTGTGCTCTGGTCTCTTGGCTGTGGGTGCAACTGAGGAGGCCAGGGTGGGGAGAGTGGGGCCTTGCCCTTGGCCACCCGGTAGGGGGTCCCAGGCCAGGTCACCCTGCAGCCAAGGTTTAGGGCAGGAAGGAACAACAGCTAGGGGAAACTCGTGTGACCCTGGCCCCAATCTGGCTTGTCTCTTGGAGGGGGAGGGGTGGCTTTTGGCCAGCTTTGCAGAGACCTGCCCCGTGCATCAGCCCCCTCCACCCCCCCCTTGTTTCAAGTCAAACTCCCTAGCCTTTTCTTCTTGCTCGACAGCAACCACATAGAAGACCAGGACGTGCGGCTGATGAATGAAAACAAGGTCATTTCCTCCTCCAGAAAGATGCAGGTGGCAGCTGACCCAGGTTCGTGCCGCTCCCATGTTGCTGTCGCCACCTCTGAGCACTGTCTTGGGAGTGGAAGGGCTGCTAGCGGGAGGTGCTTTTTTTGGGGGGGGGGAAACCAAGAGACAAGTCCCCATCTGGAGGCTCCTTTTGCCAGTTCAGGGGCAACTGTCTCCCTTTCTTCATCTGCTATTCCATTTGTTGGCTGATGCCAGGCAGGGCTGGCAGTGTCCGGGGGGGGCAGGGGTTAGGGTTGTGTGGAAGAGTCTCCCTGTGGACGGACCATGCCTGAGAGGATCTATCTTCCCACAGCCCTTCGTCCCAAAACCTGCCTTCAGGCCAAAGGATTGTTGCGAAGGACGCGGCAGTGACCGGAGGAGGAGGTGGCTAAGCGCCTCACTGCAGCCCACCACCAGCTTCCTCCCCCTCCTCCCTCGGTGCCGAGGGCGCTCCCTGACCCGTTTGGCCAAAGGTGACACCTGGTTTCCCACGAAGTGGCTCAGTGGATGGATGGATGGATGGAGCCTGGGCGGTGGCTGGTTTGGGGAGCAGCCCCAAGACCTCTGGCCAGCTGCAGCCCCATTAAACCTGCTGCAGCCCCGAAAGAAGACACCGCTTGCTTCTGTCCTCCCGTGAATGGCTCTGGCTGGAGACAAGCAGAATCGGAGGCCCATGCTACACCTCAAGGCCTGCCTGCCCTCTGCCTCGGAGGGCTACAGTTCAGGAGGAAAGGACTTCCAGCTTCTCAGAGACGGGCGCAGCCTCTCCTCTCTTGCTCGGGAGCATGGGGTTGGGAGAGAGAGGAAGGGATGAAGGCCAGCATGAATAGCGTGAGGAAGGTGGGGGTGGACAGATCCTATTCACTTCTCTCTCTACATCTGTGGGCCTGTGCGAGCCTCCCGCCCGTGCCCTCTTGATGACCACGCAAGGTTACCCCTAATGCCCTGAATGCAAAGAGCCACGTGTGGGCTACAAAGCTGGACAGAGGTGGCAGTGGCGCCCCCACCTCCAAAAGGCTCCCTCTCCAGCCCCAAGCCAGGGCCGAAAGAGGAGGGCTGGAGCCGGGAGGGAGGGAGGGTTAATCCACTGGCAGGAGCTCAGCTCTGCTGAGCCGCTATGCTATCGCCCTATTTATATCCCCACACAGGGAAAGAGGCTTGGGGGAGGCAAGGCAGGCGTGGCAGCTGGGGTGGACGTTCTCTGCAGCCACACCAGGCCCCCTCCCCTCCTGACGTCAGCTGCCTGGGAGAGGGTCCCACCTCGGCATCGTCTTTGGAGCCCAGCTCACCGGAAGGCGGGAGGGCGGGCCCGTGGGAGCAGGCTCAGGCCGTGTCTGTTGCTGCCCCTCTTGAACTCAGGGGGACGGTGGCCCCATTCAACGTGTGCCAGCACCCTATTCTCCATTTATATATATTCCCTTTTGGCTTTGGGTGGGGTGTACTTCTCTTTCAAGCTGTTGCTTTCCCACTTTTTTTTATTACACAGTTGCCTTCACAGCCTGCCTTTTGGCCTGTTCTGTGGGACGTTTACCCCATGGCAGTTGGGGGGCATTTGGAGCTTATTTTGAATGTGGATTCTTGCCAAGCATGGTGCTGGGGAGGTCGGGGGGGGCAGGTTTGAGGGAGAGAGAGAGAGAGAGAGAGGAGCACAGCTGGAAGAAGGGCCTCAGCCACTTAATCTGATTGGAAAGAGATGAAGTCGGCTTCTCTTCCAGATGGCACCAGGCCCACAGCGTGATTCTCCCATCCCCATCCCCACCCGCACCCCACCCCCACCTGCAACGCACCCAGCCCAGCTCTGGCTGTGCGGAGGCAAAAGCTTTTGCAGCCTCGGTGCCAAAACGAGCCCAGAGCGGCTCCCTCCCTCCCTCCCTCGCCTCCCACCCTTCCCATGACATTTCTGTCTCCCCATTGCTCCCCCACCTCCTCCTCCTTCTTCCACTGGTGGACCTGTTCTGAAGACCCGTGGCCTTGCACAGCAGCCAAATCTGGTCTCAGAAATGCCCGGGATCCCTTGCACTGTAGGTGTCTGTGTCCTGCAGTCCCGGGAGACAGTTAAGGGTCATTCCCAGGAAGCTGTAAGGGCCATGTCATTGACCTCCTTGGCCTGCTTCCCGCTGCCCCTCACAAAAAGCCTAAGTGCTTCTGCAGCAGGGCTGAGCAGCAGTTAGATGAGGATTCCCAAGTGGACCTTTGGATACCTTTCAGCTCTTTAGGAGCAGCCAAGGGGGAAGGGTCTTGCTGTTTTAAAGGCAGAAATAGCAGGAAGGGAAAAGGGAAGGAACCCGGGTGGGTGCGCATGTGCCAAGGGCAAGAACTCAGGGGGAGAACGAAAGGACTCGTGGGCTCTGCAGGTTCTGTTTGGAACCTGAATTCTGCAGGGACGTCTGACCTGCTCAGCCCAGGAGTCTCAATCTCAGGGTGCTCGCAATTCCTCAGCTGCCCAATTGCGGGTGGGATGGGACATCCCCCCACCCGCAAGATTCAAGCGCACCTGCTTTGTCGTAGAAATTGTCCAGAACAGGGAGTAGCTCCCCCCCCAAAGAAAAAAAGAACAACCAACAGCCCAGGGGTGTGTGGGGGGGAAATAAGGAGGAAACTCCAGACAGCCATGGGAGAGTTCCTGGGAGCTTGATGGAGGCCCAATCCTGAACCGTCTTCCTTTCGCCCTCTTTCAGTCGACCCTTCCTGCTGATGCTGCCCATCGCCTTTGCAGAGGGTTGGGTGGGGGGAAGGGATACCTGTGTGTAGAAGGGAGCAGGACTGGGCACAAAGGCCTGGAAGGGAAGGCCGTTTGCTGCTGCCCCCCCCAAGGAGGGAGACCTTGCCCAAAGGGGCCCCTTCTCTCTTTCCAGCCTCCAGCCGCTCAACCTTGAGGGAAATGAATCAAGCTGACATTTTCATTACCAGAAGAGAGAGCAGGCATGGTCATAACGTGGCGGTGGAGGAGGGTAGCAGTGGAGGCTGCTATTACTGGGGATATTTATCCCACTTAGAGCTGCCAGGAAAATGAAATGGGTGCCGTGAGCTATAACCAGCCGATGGGCTCTCCAGCCAGAGAAGGGAGGGGGAGAAGCCGGCAGGCTCACCCACAGCCCTCGGCCTGCCCAAGGTCACCCGACAGAGGCTGCCTCTCCTTTGCTGCCCAGCAGCCTCTTCTGAGAAGGGGCTTCCTCACGCCTGAAGGTGGTCGGTCTGGGCAGGGGGGCTGCCCCGCCAGCCCATGCCCCTCTGTGCAGAACGTGGCAGCCTCGTCCCTACAAGCCACCAGCGGTTGCCGCTAAGCCACTGCTTGCCAGAATGATTTCCCCGACCAGGAGGCACCTGGCTGATGCAGTGGCTGGCATCAGAGGAATCCAGGGCTTTGAATCCTTAAGACTGTGTAATAAAGCTGAGAGGTGCGGGCTAAATCTCAAGAGCTCTGCAACCAGCTTTAAAAACAACCATTGTTGTATTTCTTTTTCTCTTTTTAAAAAGCAACCTTTTTAAAACCCAGTCTTGCAGTGCGCTGCGCACTCAGAGTTGGCACAAGCCAGCTCTGCCTGCTGATTGCTGGCTCCCTCCCATTGTCGGTAGGAATGGAGCCAACAGGCCCAGCCGGCACCGTCCTGTAGCAGGTGGGAAGGGAGGGAAGGACGGAAGGAAGGAAGGAAGGAAGGAAGGAAGGAACCAGGTCGGTTTGGCCCCTTGACCAGGAGGAGGGGCCAAGGTCAGAGGGCTCCCCGGTCCTCCAGCTTCCCTTCTACACAGAGGGTGTCCTCTCTTTCAGGGCATGGCTGCCAATCCCGGGGAAGATGCTCTGCAGGATGTCACAGTAGACCGTGTACAGTTCAGGGTCAATGTTGGGCTTAGGGAGGGCTTTGGAGTTGGAAGCCTGTTCGGGCGAGAGGGAGGGGGGCGGCGGTGGCAGGTAGACGTCGCTGAAGAGGGCCAGGAGGATCTTGTGGGCTGCCTTGTACGGGTCCTCCTCCGACTGGACCATGGCCTTCAGCTCCATCAGGGTGTGGCCGTTGTAGCGCTTGCTCTCCTCGGCCAGAGGCTGGACCGTTACTCCGATGTGCTGCACCTTCCACCGCAGGCACTTCAGCTCCTCACGGACCTCCTCCAGTTCCTTCTCCATGGCCAAGAACTCTTGCCGGGTCACAAAATCTCTGCTGGTGGGAGGGCGAGAAACACAC